TTCCATGGGAAAGTAATCGTTATTCGTACATAGTATGAAGCGAAAGATATTTGAGAAATCTAAAGATCTATCAGAGCAGCCATTATCACATTAAATTCGCTATTACCTTACGTGTGGGTTAAACCAGAAATTTGAAAAATTCCATTTATCAGTGTTCATATATCCAAATTATTATTGTTTAAATTTGATGGATACATGAACTTAGTTCTATAAACTTTTATCTTACGTCCTCGAACGCCCTTAACTTTGAGCAACTCTCAGCTTCTTCTACAAGTGCCATCTTAGTTCCAAATGTTGGCAACAATCAAGGCTATTCGAGTTTTGAATACGGCAAATATAAGAAGAGCATTTCAACCACTCTCTCGTCGAATGACACTGACATAGTAAATCACACAGAATAAATGTCAATATTGATATCCTATAAAATCCTACGTAAATCAGTCACTTACATTTGCAGTATAAATTCGTCAGCACTATTAGCGCAGGCTTGCCGTGCCGTATCTTACCGTACCGCGCATCATATAATTAGCAGGTGAGTGATTATACTCATTATTGTGTTACATATAGTTAATGCAGATTTGCGAGTGCCGCGCCGTGCCGCGCTGCGCCTGCGCAGGGACGTGACCGCGTTCACACGAACCTACCCGAACAACTGGCGGTAATTATTGTGTTCCAAAGGAAACAAAACAAATTGCATAGGTATTATACAGCACGCAACCAAGACGAGATAATGCATAGGGTCCGCATGCGTGATTTTAGATTGGTAATTTTATTGCTGATTCTAGAAAATAACTTCTAAATACTTGTACTTGTATTATCTATTAAAAAACTGAATAATTGCATTGGTTGTTCAGGTACCATTAAATACTGAACGCAGCTTATTCTTATCTCAAGTATCAATCATAAATTCTTAGAAATTTAGTTTAAAAAACTTATGGCCCTTTTGACTAACAATTTATCTATTATTATGTCAAACCTTATGTACTTTTGTACATCAGCGGACCAATGCCCACGGTATTCTCTTCCAGTCAACCTTTGGGTGGTGTAGAAATCTTATAAGGTTATCTTACAGACGTTACATAAGATATGTCATGTGTTTATAAATACCATCAATAAGTTTAATGTATTGTTTCAACCGTACTCAAATCACATCGCAGATTCAGAACATCATCGCACGTACAACAAACAAACAAGTAAACAAGTCTTGTGGTGGTACATTTATTGATTAATGAAGAGTAAATATAGGTACCTAATAATTCCTTTGTTCTTTATTCTTAATAACTCGTATCAGTCAGTTAGAAATGCATTCGAATTGAAATCAAATAGGAATATTTTAAAGCAAGTCAGTAGCGTAGCTGTCAAGTTCCGAACGGAAACTTGGAGGCTTCTGTTCGTAATGTTAGAATCGGCGCGGCGGAGTGCACTTGATCTAATCAATTGATTAGCCACTGAACACACTTGGATCTGAGGAGCAGGTGTCCGTTGCAACACTCAACCTGGAGGTAACCTGTTATGGGCTCGTTATGAGACGACACTACACACCATTAAATCTCTAATGAGTGCTACTGACTTCTAGTTCCACGTCCTAGTTGTGCTACCTTTCCACTGTGTTGTAAAGATTGATAAACGTCCTATTTGAAGAGTAGATATTTTTATATTTAAACGGAATTGCAGCATAGGTATATGATTGCGCGATCTGTCGTCCACAACTGTGGGAGCTTGACCGGAGTAATACCAGGGCCTCACATAATATCAGTGCTTAACAGTTCCTTCGTTTCATTTCACCAAGTGAGTGACCCCTCCCCGACTCTAGGGGGAAGAGACTCAAAGCGCTCGTGACTCTTAAGTTGTAATGGCAAAACAAACGTCTCAAATCATCTCGATGATGTTATGTATAGTCCTAATGTGTATGTGCCTAAAATTATATTTTATTCGTTTGCTTCAATTCTTGCAAGGAGGGCATTTATATATCTAGTAATACATTCTTAAATATCTTTGTTCATTGGTCACGGGAGATCTTATTTATTTCTAAAAGACCACAGATATAATTGATGGAATGACCGCGACAGTCGTGAAACTGTTTATCAAGTACAACGTTAAATTTTCAGCACAGAGACGACAATGGACAGTTCTAATGCGAACAGCTAAACACGACAGCCTTTCAAAGGTAAAAAAAATTACCATAAAGTGGGAACGCGTCCTTATTAGAAAACCACGAAAATTCACTTTCATAGCATAACATAACATTTGTTTCACATACAACACTGTACAGAGTCTTGTAATTGAAATATATTTTTATACACCTATACTGTGGCCATTCATTTTATTTTCACGAATTAAATTAAAACACGCTATCAGACAATTTAGTTTAACATACAAATTAGTTAGTAAAAAACTAAATAGGACTTGTGTCCATCATAACAAACAGTTACATTAAATGATTTAACCAAAACTTGGCATGATAACTATGGCTAAACTTTGAATGAAATTCAAGTTTAAACTTAGACTGAAATAAAAACAAAATAAAGATGATGCGCGCTAGATGAGTAACAAAATATTACGTCACGGTTAAATAAAGGAGATCAGATCGGCAGATCCTGTACTCCTAGTAATATATGATGGATGATTATGAAATTTGTACCATTTGTGAATCATCCTATTCTATTTACCGTTTACAATTATCATTTTTTTAGACCTTTGCTAAGAGAAAAAAAATCTCCTCAAAGAATTGCTACAACTGTAATAACTAAACGTTCAAGTGTTGTTGACAAAACGTATTCCTACGTTTTCTAAACTTCCCATGCGTAAAATATAAATTACATAAAAAACGATACGTTAACATCGAAATAAATGAATGAGCTCACTAGTGTATTTAGCTGTTAAAAAGAAACATTACATTTCTTTATTATTAATGTTGACTGTACAGATTAGACGAAGTAATAATGGAATAATTTTTTTTAATCAACAAATTTAAGGCAAGTTATTAATAACTTTTATTCAAGTCGATTTGATTAATCGTGAACATTAGTAAAATAACTAATTAACTGATTTGACGGGGCATCATTTTTTTGACGGATCAAAAAAATCACAAACGAATGATTTTGAAAGATATCTCAATTTTAACTTGTTGACAGAAATGACGACTCATTTGTGACAGCCAGCTGTCATTGGTATCGACTTCAGTACAACCTGTATGCACACTACAAACTGAAATAACTGTTGAACGCAAAGTTCTAAAAATGTGGTAATTAAAACTGTAATTGTCGATGATATTACCAGCCAAATAAGTACAACAATAATCCCTACCATGAGATACGTCTGCCTGCCAATTGTCCTTTCCTTTTTCAAATCCTTTAAATATATCTCTTTTTTTGTATTTACCAAAACTTCGGTCTTGTAGTCTAGCTATCGTGGGCTTCACTGGTGTTCTTTAAACAACATTTAATAATTACACACAAAAATGGTATAATTTGCAAGCCCTAAAAATATTTTTATAAATGTAGACTTACTAACCCATCCAGCTAAACCGTGAACAACGTATGCGCCCAGTCCCAGCGGCAACGGATTAAATACTGTTTCACTGTACATATTAATACCTACATTAATGAAGTTGTGAATTAATGACATGTGATCAGAAAAAGTGTGCAATCACTTGTTTGGTCAAGGTGCGTGCGACTGTGGAGAAGGGTACTAATTACACCGCGGCCCGCCCAACACATTGTCCAGTACAAACATACCTTCAGACCTAATGACATCCTGCTGATACAAAGGTCACACAAATAATGTGTGTCAGGCTGTAATCTGTCTATGGAGTGTGGGGCAAGGAGAACCATCTATGTATATGAAAGTTTATGTAAGAACGCGTCCAATAAGGGTGGCGCTGCGGTAGCCCAGGATAATTGACTTAAATAATAATTCAACATTGTGTGCTAGACTGCGAAAATAGTCAATGAGTTTTACAGACAACAAATAAACGTGTAATAACTTTCAGACAATACCTAACTAACTACCTACTAACAGTAACTTTCATATCGTAGTTCTTCGTACGCCAGCGACCTCTATACAGCTTGGCACTTTTTCAATTTTCCCCTCTTAAGAGATGGTTCTCCTTGACGCTACACTCCATAGCGTTATCTCTTAATTTTCGTTCCTGGTACCTTCATTTAATATTGCGCTGCTGTTTTGTTCAAGTTATTAAACGTAGAGTAACAGGTTGCCGCAATATTTGAGTAGGAGTTTCCAAAAACGGTTTAGACTGTACCAGAATGAATTTATACAAAAGCTTACTGTATACGTAAGGATCTGGATCTGGCCATTTACAATAAAAACAATTATGGAATTCGAAAATGGAACTCTTTGGGAACATGTTACTTTTTAATTTGCGAGACTATCATTTGTTTTTTCATTGTGACGCTCTTTTAAAAATTGTGTGTCGCTATTAACATGAATTTAACTGGTGAACATTCTCGTTCAATGATTTTAATGATTTTCGTTGTCACTTAAGTCAACAAGAGAGTTGCCAGAGACTTCAATTGGCATTTGGTGATGAAGCACCATGTCGCAGCTCTGTGCATTCGTGGTTTGAAGAATTTATAGGTGGACGTGATGATCTCCATGACGAGGTAAGTGAAGTTCGGTTACAGACTCTAATATTGACACCGTACGACAACTTATTGGAACTAGCAAAAAAATACTTGCCAGCAAATTCGTGCTGTGTTAGGCAATGAGGCAAGTGCAAAACATTTATACTATAGAGTATAGACAAAAGCAAATACTCGAAAGTCATGGTAGTCAAATAAGTGTTTAAAAACAGTTTATATACTAGACTTTATTTGTACTTTAATTAACTTATCACACACAGTTATTAAATTACATTACACAGTAAAAAACAAACAAAGCTAATAAATGCCTGTGCGATCTGCGCCGCCCACTTTTCTAAACACCGCACATTACGACCATCTTGTTGATCGCGGTGTATCATTTTTATCAGTATATGAACAATGCAGATGTGCAGCAGTGGGACAGTGGTTACTATGTTGAGTATGGGGAGGGTGCTGTTAGCGCTGGTGGTGTTAGTGGAGGCGGTTGTGCTGCGCGCCGATGTCAACGTCATGAAGGATGTCACGTTGGGTTTCGGGGAAGCACTCGACAAGTGCCGCCAGGAGGTGAGCTTACAGTGTCAATTAGCTTTCCTTACAGAAGGTCAATTCTCGTAATAAAAGTTCGGTCAAAATTCAGTTCCGAACAACTCTCGATCTCGCAACTATCACAAAAGGTATTTTCGTAGTACAGTTGTAAATTAGGTATTACTAAGACTAGCAGATTACCGATTCAATTTTCGGTTACAATACGATAATTATAATCACGTTAGAGTCAACGTTGGATGTTTAATACTTTACTAGGAAAATACCTAATACACTTTATAACGCTCTTTTGCACACCACTTTCACATTTCAGTTTAATAAACGAAATTAAAAGAAAGATGCAAACATATGTATGTTTAGATATCACTCAATTATATTTAAATTTGAATGATTGCTAGAGTCAACTGACCGAGGACAAGATGGAAGAGTTCTTCCACTTCTGGCAAGATGACTTCAAGTTCGAGCACCGCGAGCTGGGCTGCGCCATCCAGTGCATGAGCCGACACTTCAACTTGCTCACCGACTCCAGCCGCATGCACCACGAAAATACTGCGAAGTTTATTAAATCTTTCCCAAACGGTAGGTACGGAACTCTAAGTAAATGTTGATTGTTTTATTAGAATTGACAACAGCGTGTATTCTAAACACTGCATAGCCTCATGCGAACTTCCACACACTTCACACGTATATCAACTCTCTACTTTCACCGGATCTCCAGTCTTAAAAGCGGTATAGTTTACTCGTTATGTGTTGCACATTAATTATACATTAAACAAATAACCCATCTTCGACAACGTGCCTAGCTTACAATTCTTATGTAAAATCACGAGATAAACCTTCGGTCCTCCAATAACCTTCTTCTTCGTTGTCCCTCTCATACGTCTGAGTTCGTTGGCTCATCCTTTTTCGTTCAGTCTGTTCTTCTCTCTGTTTCTTTGGAATGCGCTTCCGCTCGAAATCAGGATGGCCACTAACACTTTTTCTTTTAAAGTAAAATTAAAGCTGCTCAAACAACAGGCAAAATCACATTGCTTGTGATTTTTTTAAATCCAATTGTTAATAGTAACTATATGCGAGTGTGTGTACATATTTTTATAATTTTGTAGCGTATTTATGTATTGTAATGTATGTACTTATGAGAAATAGGTGCAGTATATGATAGGTTTGTATATGTGTAAATTAGTGATGTGCCGGATATCCGTATCCGTATCCGCGGATATCCAAGGCAGAAGAGAGATCCGTAACCGTATCCGTATCCGTGACTTTTTTGGCGGATCTTTTAATACATATTACATAGATGAAATTCTATATAGGTGATTTTGTATTCACTGTAAAACTCTTAGGTATGTGTTTGTAACACTATAAACAGCAACTTTTTTTCTGTCAACGTCAAAATGAAAAAAAATTGGTCCTCCATTCAAATGACCAAACAAATGTTGTTAGTTTGTATGGAGAAACAATTTTTCTTCTTTCGTTTTCGGTGTTAGTCCAGAAGAAAAGTTCTTCAGAGGTTTTCAGTAAATTTAAAATAACCCTGAATAATGGTTATTAGGTAGCTATGAAAAACTATTGAATTCTGTTCAGATTACTTTTTATTTCTTAAAACAAATATTTGGCACCTTTGTATTGCAATCATTTATCGTACTATACTAAATCAACTAGGCAGGTCGTAGGTACTGAAAGAGCTATCTTTATAATGAGATCAATCAAACTCTTCCTCTTGACACCAAATATCCGTATTCGGATCCTTATCCGCGGATATACTTTGTTAACGATCCGTCACATCACTAGTGTAAATATATGATTTTGTATTCAGATTAAATGCACCTACTACTTTGTGTTTTCTATGCATCAGCTAATGGTTGACTGGTAGAGAATGCCTTAGGCAATATGTCCGCCATTGCCTTGCCATGCCATTGCCATGTGCATGACGTGTCAATAAATAAATAATATTTACTGTTATTCTTCGGTATGACGCAGGTGAGGTGTTAGCGCGTCAGATGATCGAACTAATCCACCTCTGCGAGCAGAAGTTCGACCACGAGGAGGACCACTGCTGGCGCATGCTCCATACCGCTGAGTGTTTCAAGGCGTCGTGCGTCGAGAGGAACATTGCGCCCACCATGGAGCTCATGCTGGCTGAGTTCATCATGGAGGCGGAGGCTCGGTGAACCATCTATTACCTTATTAGTAACAATTTTACTCTGTGATCTTAGCAACCAGTATAGACAGTTTAAACATGTAGAACAGATTTAGTTTGTAGAAGTTGATTTATATACGCCGCGCAGTACCGTCTGTAGGTAGTAAGTGACGACCAATGCTTGAAAATGGATATATGATTATATTTATGTACGAATATAAGTGATATTTTGTAATATTTTAAGAAGAGCTCTTGTTATAGATTATAATAAAAATTGGTTAAATAATAATACTTCGTGATTATTACACGAAATTAATTTTACTAAATAGCTATTGCCCACGTCTCTGCCCACGTGTAATGTATGCTAAATTTTATTAAAATTGGTTTAGCTATTATTGATATCCCATACAAACTTCCAGCCCCTCTCACACCACCGTAAAGGGTAATTTTTGATATAAATGTCCTTTCATGGGACTCAAACTATCGCTGTACCAAATTTCATTTAAATCGCTTCAGCGGTTTAAGAGTAAAGAGGTAACAGAGGGCAGACTGACACACTTTCGCATTAATAAATATTAGTATGGATGCGGTACAATATTGTAATCAAACCACCTATTTACTTGCGTAACTCTATCCGCTTTAATTCAGTTGCATCTACAGCAAATACTTGAGATGAGAGACCCAGGGAAATCTACAATAAACTTTTAGAAACAAGAAAAAACTTGATAGGTTATTCATATATTGTTACAGAAATATAATTAATCATGAACTTTAAGAGGCTCTGCACACCGCTGTAGAGTCCAGTGTACAATTGTGAAGTCGCAAAAAAAACACGTTTCTACGAAACAAATACGCAAATAGTGTAACCTCCTTGTTGTTACTGAACTGAATATTAGCGTGCGCCCAGACACGTCGCTAGGTTCTTACATTATTATTGACCAACACAAGAAGGATATAAAATCCCCGACTCTTTTATATTCTATAAATCATTTTATCTATATATACGAAGGTAAATTACTTAGGCAAATGAGCAGACTGGTCACCTGGTGGGAGGCGACTACCGCTGCTCATGAAAGCCTGCAACTCAGGAGTCACAAGCGCGTTGCCAGCCTTTGAGGAAGGAGTACGCTCTTTTCTTGAAGGTTTCAAGGTCGTATCGGTCCGACGACACCACAGCCGATAACTTGTAGCTGAGATATCTTCCATCAATCCAAGAAGGTGATAGTGATCATGAAAATAAGAGGGTTAATTAAGTAGGCTTAAGGTACTACAACGACATGAGCTACATACGACAACAACTAGTGAATACGCAACATACCTAAGTAAAACATATACGTATACATAATATGCACATATTTATTGTGAGATATTTTATACCAAAATCATTAGATATTTCTAAAATTTATTGTGTAGAGACTACTAAACCAATCCAATGTGAACCTACGGTATTATATATTAAAGGAATAAACAAACATACATCGATGAATAATATATTCAAACGTAACGGACTGATATTCCAAAGGTTGCGGGTTCGATTCCCGCTCAAGTCAAACATTTAATGTTTGACTTAGTCTGGGTGTTTCTATGTATAATATTTACGTATTTACAAATAAAGTATATAAAAGTATATATGTATTTATATTAGTTATCTAGTACCCATAGAACAAGCTCTTAGTTTGGGACTAGATGGCGTTGTGTGTATGTGGTGCAATATTATTATTATTAAACTGCTTACCTTTAATAATATGACGTCAATATGTCTTTAAGCTTGTACTCAGTATCTAGTTGTTAAGTATTCATAATTTTTACCTTTTTCGTCGTCAGGGGATGTAGCTCAGTGGTAGAGCGTTCGCTTTGCATGTGAAAGGCCCCGGGTTCGATCCCCGGCATCTCCAACTTTTGTCAATTTCAGTAGATATTTATTTTATTTTTCAGTAACTTTTGCTTCATCCTTAAGTACAAATTTGATAAAAAAAGTCAACAGAAAAAGAAATTATAAGCAAAAACTCAAATTTGACCCCGACGTGATTTGAACACGCAACCTTCTGATCTGGAGTCAGACGCGCTACCGTTGCGCCACGGAGTCGTTGGAAAATGATGCTAATTTACTAATATAAATCTAAGGATGTACTGAAACAATTTAATCTTAAAATTTTGAAAAAAATGTTTTAAAAATAATGGACCTTATTCGTGGATTCGTATCTCAGTTTTGATAATAGTTGTAATTTTCAAAAATGAGAGTAAACACTAAATAATATTTTTAGCTCAAAACAATATATATTGGAGTTGATGTCGCCCTTGAAGACAACTCATATATTAATAATCAAACATTGCCATGTTAATACCAAAAGTTATGGTAACTTTTTAAGTAACTTCCAAAATTAAAAACTATGACACTAAGTGTCATCTAGTGAGCAGTTTCCGAAACCAGTTCGTTTGAGTTTGTTGTTTTGGTGTTTTCAAGTCTATTGTAGTGGCAATACCACATCATCCTACCTAACCCATTCACACTTAATTACTATAATCATATATACTAGAATATAGGTACTCATATAGGTAAATAATGGTTTTTTTTTAAATAGCTACATCGACTGTGTTTGTCAGTAATATAAAATGATTCTAAATAGGCTAAGGACTTTTTTGTGAGACTTACAAACAGCAATACATTATCTCCCAAGCTAATATTATAAGTAGGTACATAATCTGTTTTCGTTAATATGATTTATCTAAGTAGTTCCATGCAACCACACTGGTGTCGCATTTCAATAGTACACTTTATCAACACTAGATGGCGCTAAAATTCTGTACTTAGTTTTCAATCATGTTCCACAATCATCATATATTTACCACGACTCGTATATATATTTGGTATATTGATAAAACTAAATAATATAAGTTTTAAGCCTCGACAGACTGTCGTCGCCTTGCTGATCTTACCCCTCCAAAAACTGCACTAAAAAGAGACATAAGAAGGTGACTTCTCGAATATGCGTAGTCCTTGGTATATTGTAACAGTCTGTTAGTGAATTGCACTCATAATAAACGACATTTGCATAATTGACCAAGCAAATAAGGGTATGTGAATCTATTGAGGGTGTGTAATACAGTCTAAGTAGATTTTATAATATCTCAAAATATTAGGCATCGAAAAAGGAAATCAGTTGTCCGATTCACCTTTTATAAAAACTTGTGATTCAGAGAACAATTAAAGGACCGTTTGTTACTGTTCTTCTGGCGGTTCACGGGGGAGTCTCGCCACCACCTCTGATGGGACCACTCTGGGGGCACCGGGAGTTGGGTATAGCATGAAAGTAAAATTAATGTCATGGAAATGTATTCACGGAGAGGTTTTGTTAATATAAGATTACCTGATAGACAGTGACTTATGAGATAAATAGACGAAGCGTTCTGAAAGAATTAGTAGTAACAAAAAGACTCATTGACCACTAACGGAGTAAAAAGAAGTAGGATCTTAACAAAAGTGCACGTAACCAGCGAGCAGCCCTGATAATTCTGGAAGGAGCGCGACTATCATATCTCTCTATCGTTGGAGAGCCATGCTTCGGGTCAAATGGGCTAGGTTCGACCGGAGTAACACCTTCGCCTCACAGACGACCGGTATTAAAAAGTTCTTTAATTTGCTATTCAACAAGTGAGTGCATGTGATGTTATAGACTAATATAGACAATGTTTAGGTACGCAAGATGATCATCCATTGCTAGAATGTTTAAGACTTGTAACAATAGTTGTTTAACATTTTACAAGTAAATAATTTTGGGTCCTTTAAACAAAGCATGGGAAAATTGTAGCAACTAATTTTGACAAATCGGTAACTGGCAGTGACCACAACGGTTAAAGGATTATAAAAAGGCCAATTCGTGTTTTGGAAATGCTTTTAGGTACATGAATCATGAAAAAACTTACGCACACCGCACACTGCCATATTAAATGAGGCATATCGCAGAAAAAAGTATAAGTAAAAATAAAGTCGTTGTTGTGATGTTATAAAACCCACCAACATGTTGTGCAATTCTTAACGCCTAAAAAAAGCTTAAGGATATTGACACTAGGTATGAACAAGTTTTCCTTAAAGCGGTTAATCTCTCCGAGGAAGAGCTATTTTAAGTCTCAGTCGCACATCGGAGGCTGTGTGTGGTGTGCGGTGTGCGTCGTGCTCACGTAAGAACACAACATTACAACATGTTTAAAGCTGTTTTACTGCTGACTTTCGTCACCCTCGTCAGCTCTCAAGTGGAACAAAGTGTTTTCGCACAGTTCTCTAAACCTCAAACTCATAAAGTCCAGGTGCAACCTCCAACTACGAAGGCTGTAGGATACATGGCTCCGCCGGAGCTGAGTGTATTGAGGAGCAGGAGAAGTTTTTTCGACCGTGATATGGACCCCGAGGACAACAACGCACTTTTGCTGCGGATGAAGCAAAAAATGAGTAACCCCAATTGGGTGCCTGACATAAGGCCTAGAAACAATTTCTTCAATTAAAAAGCTCTGATCGATTCAAGTTTTTATTTTTTGAACGCTTTGATATGAACTAATAAGTGAGAAGAATCAATTAAAGCATGACAAATGATTATTATTTTTGTGCACTAAATTCAAAAGGCTATATTTAAACCAGTTTGCAATAAACAGTAGCTGCGGCAGGCAAAGAAGGACGGAAGCACGTTCTACCAACAAACTGATAAGTGAGCTACACTTTTGCGTGTGTTCAACATTGCCTGCTACTAAATTAAAACATTGATACTATCATTGTACTTTTATTTATGCACTGAAAGACAAAAACTACTACTAAATCAATTAATTTACCAAGTTAAGGTATTAATAATAAATAATTAAGTTTAGATATAATTTATTCAAGTAACAATATTTATACATTGACCTTCAGCATAAGATTCTCTCCTTCTACTTTCCAGTAGAAAACACCCTTTATATTAGAACTAACTTACTCACTGGCATACCTACCTAGACTCATACCAGTACCGAGAGTTATGAATCATCATCATGATCATCACCACCACGTAGAGCTTGAATGAAATGTGAATCATTTAGTGAACAATAGAGTAGTCGAGCCACTTTACTCACCTAACTCAACCAAGTAGCGATGACTCAACTGTTTTATGTTTTAATATAATACTGTATTTGTATGTACGTGTATTTAGTGACACTCCATGCTTTATCAGAGTGAAGGGTTCCCAGAATAGTCAGAGCACTGCGACAGATCTATCAAGAGCAAGATTTAATAAAACGTTTTCCAATTAATTTGAAAACACATTCTTCTTCCCCATATGAACCCATATGAAGAGGGAGTCAGAAGAATATGTATTTTTCAGTTTTCAGTCAGAAATCAAGGGGATCAAAAAAAAAAGGGAGAATCTCCTTTTTCTTTGATTTCCCCCTTTTTTTTCCGTGCGGAAATCCCCTCGGATACCACCTATCGGTGGCATGTCGGATTCGAACCGACTAAAACCGCACGCCGTCTCGGGTACTAATAGCCGGGAAACCAGGTATACCCTAGAAAGGAAGTCCCTGGTGCCCCGACATACCTCGGGCCATCTACAACAACAGGTAGACGACCCCCCCGTGTGGGAACCCCATGTTCCCTCTGCACCCTGGAAGCGAGCGCGCTTCGCAACGCGCTCGCCGCCACCCCGGCCTGCTTCTGCTAGGGTGACAGATGGCCTCACCTGTCACCCCCAAGCCTGCGCTTATGGAGGACGGAGGTCGTTCTGCGACCGACGGAGTCGCCTGCGGTACCTGGACCGGGAGAGTCCTAAACCTCTCCCGGTCCCGCTCCGCCGTCTCCTTCGCGAGCATAACTTGCTCGCAGAAGGAGACGGCAGAGTTCCACGAACTCTCGCTCCGCACGCTAGCCGCAATCAGGCATTTGAATTCCCCCTACTCTAACAAATCCCCTCACCAACAATAATCTAGTATGCCTATGTGTAGAAGTCCTGCGGTGGTAGTTCATATGTGTCGTGTCTTTGGGCCCAATTATGAAGTATTTTATTACAACATGCCACATTGGCCTTACATTTCGTTACGAAAAGTTATGAACATCAATACCATACGTATGAGGCACGCGCTATCTTCGTCTTCAGGATTACATTTCATTATGTAAGTTGGAAGACAAACATTTTGTCGCTAAAAACATCACCATCAACATTGATAATAATCCTATTTTTTTTTTTTTTTTTTTTTAAAGAGACAACTCCCGCATTAGGAATAAATCCTGTGTCGCGGGGGACTTTACAAACATACATGAAACGGACACAAAGAACACCCAGACTCAGAACATTTATTTTATAAGAGTTAGGAATGTTTCCCATATTTCGTTAGGGGTATTGTATATTGTATATCCGTATTGGTATTACCGGCGCCGTTATTGCACCGGTAATACCCATTGTGGAGGAATTGCACGAGGGGCAACACGAACCCTCTCATACCGGCTGACGCAGGTTATCAGCGAGAAAGGATGCTTCGGGTGTTACCTGTGTATGATCCGCAAGGAGCCAACGCCCCTTGCGATGACCGGACCGTGGGCACTGGGCGCACCACACATTGGCACAAGGACTTGGCCTCGTGGCGGTTATCGGAGTGGGAATTCTTTCGCTCGGTACCATGATTGCTCGGGACAGTTTTAGAACGGTCCCGGCCCGCTAAGCCCGGGAGCGGGTCAGGTACCGCAGGCGACTCAGGCACCGCCGGAGGTCGCTGAACGACCTCCGTCCGTTACGGAGCCCGCGCGACCTTTCGGAGGCCTAAAAGCAACACACAAGAGGGGGTCATCTACAAGCCGTAAAATTCTTTCTTTCTAGGGTACACAAGTTCCCCGGCTACTGCTAACCGAGACGACGTGCGGTTTTTAGTCGGTTCGAGTCCGACAAAACCACCCCCACCGAGGTATCCGAGGGATATGGGCACAGAAACAAAAGGACTAATTCAAATCCGAATCGCACTCGCATGACAGAAGATCGCAGCCATGCAAACCGAACTAGAGTCTACCCCACTGTTGAGGTTAGATTTTCCAGATCAGACACTAAGAAGGTTAATTTCACCTTGTGAGAGGCTATGTCTGGCCAGCGTGGTATAGTAGGCCAAAACATCCTTTCTAAGGAGAGGCCTATGTCCAGCAGTGGACTGTTAAAGGCTGTTGATGTGTGATGTGATGTGATGTGACCATATTGGTAAAGTCATCTAAAGCTCTTACAACAATATAACGTAACCTTTCCTGTTCGTCCTGCGAGGATAAACCCACATTATATATCATAAATATAAGATAAATTACGTAATTTTTAATAGCTTTTTCTTAACGACGCAGCGGCGCGATGACGGCGCGGGTTTTCACTGAGTTTAGTTACTGCGAGTATTTCCATTCTATTCGTCAGATAAATATTAGTTCAATGATCTTTATTTAGTTACAAAAAATTATCCAAATGGTGAATATAATTTTTCGTGCCTATTTTTAAGCACATTTCGAGATCGAACCCCAATCGCTCAGGGCAGTAGGAAGCGACGAGGTGACCTAAACCACTACACAATCCGTGCATACGTGCATATACGAATTGAATTACAAGGTAAATTGTACCTAAACCAACAACTGTTCGAAGTTTGAACGAATAATCAATAACAATTCCAATACAATTATTTTACACGGCTGTGCATTCCTGGAGATTGAGGACAGTGCTACTTACCACGTTCTGATGACGATGCGCTTGGTGTCGGATCCGCGGCCTGCTAACCCAAGCCACGGGTGTTGTTTTAGGTCACTGCTTGCCTATGCATGCGACTTCGATGCATTAGTGTTGCGTTACAAATTATCGAGTTTTATGAATATTTCCTGTGCACATATCTACATATATCTATAAAAATAAATAAAATTGGAGTGTCTGTTTGTAATATTAAAATAACCGCTTTTTACTAAATGCATATGTATGTTTACACGGTACATATTCCAAAATAACATTTTTTACCATTTTTGTCTGTCTGTTTGTTCCGGGTAATCTCTGGAACGGCTGGACCGATTTCGACGGGACTTTCACTGGCAGATAGCTGATGACATAAGGAGTAACTTAGGCTAACTAGGCTTAGGCAACGCGGGTAACACCGCGGGTCTCAGCTAGTTAGCTTATAAATACGTTTCGATCCAGATCCGATCTAAGAATTTTGTATTCATGATTTTACGATTGTAATGAATGTTTTAATTTTAAATTAAGTTAAGAAATAGTAATTGAAACTTTCATCGTTTGAGACCCGAGACGACTCTCCCCCATGAGCAGCAGTCCATTAACAGGAGCAGTAGCCACTTACCATCAGATGACCGGTCTGTTTGTTTGCCCTCTAGAGAAATAAATAACTATATATAAACTATAGAAAAAAAAAATAACAAAAAATATATTTTGTACATTCTGTCATATATTGTGTTGCAATGGGTATAGTTACAAATCCCTATTGTAACTAATGAGCCACAAAAGAAAACGCTTTGCTGACGTACGAATGTTGTGAGCGTCCCTCGCTGAACAACCCGAAGGTTGACTGGTGGATGATGCCAAGTAGCGTCAAGTCCGCTTCGTGCAACATTATACGCAGAAAATGTTAAATAAAAAATCTAAATAAATGCAATTGTAAGTATGTTTGTTTGTTACATTCTGAAAATACTCGTAAGTATCTGTTATTCAAAAGATTGCAAAAAAATAATTCAAACTAATTTCCGTGTTATTATGGTACAAGAATTTACCAAACCCCAAAAAAAACAGGTTTCCTTCATGGTCTAATATTAAAAGTTCCTATTTTTATTTTATAGTTATAATTTGTTGTTTAAGTAGCGTTAGATATGTTGCGTATAATGTCAACTTATTAGGATACAAGAGCAGCAACAGACAGGCCCAGAAAAGCAGCATAAAAGTAGAGTTCCAGTATATTTATGCGTGTTTGAGTAAGAAACGGTAAACCCCTTTTTTTTTTTTTTTCCCGTTCAGAAATCCCCTCGGATACCACCTGTCGGTGGCATGTCGGACTCGAACCGACTAAAACCGCACGCCGTCGCCGGGTACTGATAGCCGGGGAACCAGGTATACCCTAGAAAGGAAGTCCCTGGTGCCCCGACATACCTCGGGTCATCTACAGACGAGTAGACGACCCCCCCCGTGTGGGAACCCCATGTTCCCTGTGCTCCCTGGAAGCGAGCGCGCTTCGCAACGCGCTCGCCGCCACCCCGGCCTGCTTTTGCTAGGGTGACAGATGGCCTCACCTGTCACCCCCAGGCCTGCGCTTATGGAGGACGGAGGTCGTTCTGCGACCTCCGACGCCTGAGTCGCCTGCGGTGCCTGGCCCGTTCCCGGTATTGGCGGGCCGGGAGAGTCCTAAACCTCTCCCGGTTCCGCTCCGCCATTCTCCCGGTTCCGCTCCGCCGTTGAGTAAGAACCCCTAAAAATGAAAGCTTCTGCTCAGATTACCTCTAGCGTAGAACAATATCCTGAAAATAACATTTACTTTTATCTAAATTTAAATAAATTTTAGTTTATCAATCCAGTTATGTTACCAATGACGTTTATTGCATTCTGTAAACAAATGTGTTATTGGCGGCTAATATTTGCATTACGCAACATGTGTTTTGTTTGGTAATGTTATTCACTGAAACCTTTAATACTCTAATCACGATCACAATTAATATGTAACCGGTGACCAAAATCACTTTCATTATGGATGTCAAACGGCAGGCAGTTAAATCAGCAGCCTTTGCACATGTTGAAGCGCCTAAACCACAGCTCTGGCAAAACTCCAAGGTGTATTACGCGCATCAATTGCTTTGTTTTGGCAATCCGTTTCTTAGAACGTTCTCAATGTTATGGGGAAAAACAACGAGTAATATGTCAACATCACATCGTTATTGCAATCAACAAAGATATGAGTGGTGCAGCACATGTTGGGTTTTCCGTTGGCCTCTGTGCGACCCGCATGCCCGATATTCATCGCCACATACTTATTAAACTGCGCGCACGCCGTCATGTGAGTTATTCGATACGATTTGTTACCATAGACTCCCATGAACTAATTATTTATATAATAATACGTAAGGTGATCGTATGTTATTATAATAGATATTAAGCGGGTTTACTTTCTTGCTGTATGCCAATTAATGAGGCTTGACTGTCAAATCAAAGACATTACGACTTAGGAGCAGACTGGTCAGCTTATGGTACGTGTCTACAGCGGCCCAAGGACACCGGCAAGTCGAGTCTCAAGTGTCTTTGTCGGTCCTCCTTTGAGTGTCACCGTTGTGACCTTTAGTGGTGTGAACCTTCGAGTGACCCCGTCAGAATTAGGATTTATGAGGAAAGTTGGCTGGTTTTCTGTGAGACCTTATATCACTCACCTGGAGCCGGCCCGTATGTGCCGAAGTACGGCTCTCCTGCGAGTTCACTTTATGATAACCCGATGTTTCGATTGAATTATCCGATCGTGGTAACGGATGGACTGACAGAGCTTCTTTGGAAAAACGGCAGTCGTCGCTATTACACCGGAATAGTAAGCACTTGAAATAAGAAAGAGTGTGTAAAGTTCGAGTTATCTAATATCTTAGCTGCTTGTTCCCACCCAATGGTAATGTTTTTGTGTAGTGAAACTTTACTAAAGGATTAGTGACTATCGTGTGTGTTTTAGTAGTAAGGGCGCATTTCTTCCGATGTGCACCCGTAACTTGCCACGAGCATACACTGGGGTTTCCCGCATTCCGCGATATTACACGCGGTAGCATCAATATTGCCACACAATTCGCACGAGCCTGGATTGCCTGGTTGTTTTCTGTGAGTAATAGAAGTAAAAACTCAAGATAATCAAGCAATGTTTAACTGAACAAGGATGGTTATAATATCAACAATTATTACTCGCAATTATCAACAGTCAGTTCGACAGTTATAGATTATGCTTAGGTACTCAGTTTGGGAAACCCCAAAATACACCTAATTATGTAAGTTGGAAAACACAAGATTTTACACGGCGTTCGAACAAATCATGTCGAGCCGGTTCCTGGTACTGGACATTTAGACAATTTATTTAGGTTTGAGATATCAATTAAAGATTTTACACAGTTTTCTTTTGCAACAACATACATAACTTTAGGTAGAGTGCAACTAGTATAAGATATGCAAATACTAGTCATATACGTATACATATAGTAATGTATGCATAATGCCTGTTATGCTGTATCAGTGGCTGCCTTAGCTATTGCGAGACCCTTGTCTTTGTGGAATTAGCTTTAAGATGAAACTTAGTACACAAAATGCAAAACACCAGATGCTGCTGCTCGAACATTGTGCCTTATGCTTTTGCACAAGCCGACCTCCGTTAACACTGGAAGCCTGTCAAAATTTGAATGCGGAAATGAAATCGAATCGATCCGATCGACGAATGGCGGAATGAAACATGGATAATTCCTAAATGTAAATCGAGTGCGACTAACGAGTGGCATAAGGCGCGAAATTTAAATAAACTTTGTTCTACTAGGGTAATTGCGCGAGGCTCGGTTGCCCTGCTCGCCACTCGCCACCCCTTTTTTTTCCGTGCGGAAATTCCCTCGGATACCACCTATCGGTGGCATGTCGGACTCGAAACGACTAAAACCGCACGCCGTCTCGGGTACTAATAGCCGGGGAACCAGGTATACTCTAGAAAGGAAGTCCCTGGTGATCCACTCGCCACCCCTAAACGTCGCCACTGTTCTTTATTCAACAAGTTAGCAAACAAACGCACGGCTATCGGTTAGCTACAATTCAAACAGGAAAGTGCAGTGCCCTACAATTAAAAATCAAGATACATATATACACTTATCTTGATTTTTTACTTTTATTTGGTACATTTTTCACTCAAACAACAAGATATGAGCTTTCTTTCTTTTTAATAGCGCTTTTATGTTAGGAAAATAAAAAAGGTTTTATTATTAAAGTTTACCGCATCATTAACATACAGCGTATTTGGAAAATACAGATCACCGCGTACGTAGGTATAAATACGATGTGAAGTGGTATCTTCACGATCAGTCGCAGACACACTCTACGATGAACACAGTGATACGGCTCGCCAGCCTTCTCGTGGCGCTCGCTGCTTGCGCACGCGCCGCTCCCACCGCCTCTCAACACAACATGAACCTACCTAAAACTGACAGTGTTACCCAACAACCGGGAAACTTGGTGGACAAACATCTTAATTTAAAAAATATTGCTAGCGGTAGTGAAAGACGATTATTTGTGATGAGAATACCGTGTGATAAAAACGATGTCAAGTGCTCGCGGTTCCAGTACTATGAGTTCGACTTGGTTGATGCCACGCCAAGTGACACCGACCGCACCAGGAGACGACCAGGAGGTGCTTATTATTGATGGACTTGCTATGACGGTGTAAATGTCAATAACTATTTGAAGACTGGATGCAGACCATTACCAGTGTACAGCAAAGGGAGAGAAGACACGACCAAAGAGAATTGGGTTGCTTAGTCCCATACCCACATTAGTATTAAATTGAGTACATGAGCAACGTATGTTATGAGATGCAGACGCATAATACTAATGAACTTGCCAGAAAGCAGCTCAATAAACTCGTTGAAGTTCCTTCTAGTAAAAAAATATTTATAATGGTGTTATAAGGCTTATGCCGACAATGGTATTAAGAGACAAATGTACTACTTACTGTGTTATTAGTTAATAATGGTGAACAAAAATAAATAAGTGTGTATAAAATGAGTGAAACGTCGACTAAGATAACTGTGTACAAAATGAGTGATAAATACCATTTATACACCACAGGCCAGACACAGACAGTTGCAGCTTTGTTCACATAACTGGACCAAAGTCAATGTAATATTACGCATACGCAGTTATTTAGTGCTGCGAAAGCAATTATTGTTATCCTAGAGATTATGTGTATAAAGTAAAATAGTTCAATGTTATTTATTACATACGAACTTAAACTAGTATTATTTTTTACAAAAAAATAAAATCCATGTATAAAAATGTTCATAAGTGCAGCTATAACTGTTATTATTAAGAAGTTATTAAAATAAACATTTATTCAGTTCTCACCTGTTTTGCTTATTTCATCGTAATTTTCACGAAACTGTAGACATACTTGATTTTTCCAGTTGGCACACGTCACTGTGGTCGCGCAAGGTTAAGGACGCCTCATAGAAATCTTCATATGATAGCCCAAAGACATTGAAATTATCTATTCGTACTATTTTAAAATATTTTCTTTCCTTGTTTATTTTCAGCGCATTGATCTACCCAATTATACAAATACCTACATATTTATATATTAATACATATTCATTTATATACGTATAGATATTTGTACTTGTCATACACATTGTTATTTAAACATGTGCTCGTATTTAGGGTCTAGTCTAGAGTACATTTAAATAATGACGCAATTTAAATGTTAAAATTCATTATATTTTGTAAGAGATAGGGCTTACGTATTACCCAGCTTCGCCAGCTTCTAATGGCTTAATAGAACGACTGGAGCGACCGAGCGCAAGGAGGAATGACACCCTCTCCTACCGTTTAACACAGGTGCTTACTGGACTCCTGGCTGGACACTGATGCTTCAGAAAGTACTCGAGTAGTATTGGCTGAGAGCTTACACCTGAATGTATTGCGCAGGCTGTAGCGGACACACTGCATTCTACACTTTAGTGGACTGCTCTTCGTGGACACTGGTGAAAAGCGAAGTAACCTTGTGACGGCTCTTGGTTTAGATAGCCTCTTGGAAGAGACCTTGGTTCTGTCCGTGGTCCAAAGTGAGAGGGTGTGGATTCGCGGTCTCGTTTTGAGAGGAGAGGGTGGAGAGGGAGGGGGGACAAGCAATCTTCGTTACCGCAGTAGACTAGTGGTAGAATTTGATCAAAAAATTCAAATACCTTTTTTTTCAAATATACACTACATGTACAAAAAGCATGTTCCGAAAAAATAATAACATATCATTTATCTTTGAGTTGAGTTGCAGACGTTCATGGGCAGCGATGGTCACTTTCCATTAGGTGATCCTCTGCTCGTCTGTCACCTCTAACATTAAAAAAAATGATAAAGTCGGTTTTATTCGTTTTTTATCCTTCAACTACGAGCCTTCTTCACTTTTCGTTCGGAGTCTATTCAAATGACCAATATTTGTCTTGAGCCTGACTTCTCCCTCGGCACGCCAACGCCTCATAGCGGCGGCTCAGTGCACATATGAATGGAGGCAGTACGTGATTGGCAGTATTGTGATTGGGTATGTAGATGGCAGCACATATAATTAAACCTAATACTACTAAAATAAATAAAAAATATAATCTTTTCACCTATAAATATTTTATATTTAACTTATTATATATTTATACTTATTATTTTTTGTTGTTGTCATGATACTTGACTATCCTTGTTTTATAATTTGCTACACTGTTTTCGGGACGTCACTTTACTTAGCTGTCATCGCAAGTTGTCTTTGTGTCATTGTCATACATTTCGCACAATAGACTGCACAGCGTTGAGTTTCGTGTTAAATTTGTTTTTATAGTAAGATAATCACAGTAACGATGTCGTCGTAGTGGCTCCCCGCGGAGGTACGCTCCGGCCGCAACCATGGGCTACGACATAGGGTGGATCATCCCGCGGCTGCGGAATCCTGGGAGGCTGTGGTCCTGTGCGAGTTCGATCACATCAGCCGTCGTCGGTTTATTTAGCAAAATTATCTTAGGTGAGCCATCAATTCCTTGTAGAAGCTTTTATCGATCGCAATCAACAGGTCGTCGGTATAATATTGTATGATAATGGAAACAGTGTAATTCAATACACGTATCTATCGTTACAAGGTGTTAAGTGCAAATCCCGCATATTGACTAGGTTTTGTTATTGCTTACGAAGCACAGGACGTGTTGCCATAGCGTTTTACATTGCATGTTTTTATATTACTGAATACTGGAGGACGAGCTGTCTTTTTTAAATAGAAGGTGTCACTTTCTTACATAAAGTACACGTACACATCGTCGGAAATTTAATACTCTTGTTAAATCAAATAATATTTGGGACTTTATTAAAGTTACATTTTTTTGGAATGGATTAAAAATTGCAAAGAATTAATGATCTAAATTGTTGCACAATTCCTGATGAGCTGTTATGTTTATTGTAGGTGCTGTTAATAAACAAGTGCAGTGTCCAGTTTGTGCGGACGTGATGCTAAACTAGTTTTATTGTCAGACAATGAAATAAGTGTGAGGACAACATTCTCCACACGTGCTGCACTTGTTCAGTACAATGATCACAAATGCCACTTCTGTACATAGCTTCATACACATCAGTATTGATGTTACTGTTGAAGCCTACGCTTGATGTAACATGTTACATGTGTTGTGGAGAATATAATTGAAGTATGTTGTAACTCAGTGTGAATACTTCAGTGGAAGTGCCAACTTGCTGTTTGTGATACTGAATGTTTACTTACTTAGACATGCTCTCTGAATTTGTATTATAAAATTTAAGAAATAAATGTGGTTTTGCTACAAATGCAAATCTGTGTAGACAGTACTCAAACTAAAACTCAATAGCTTTATTTCATAAAAAAAAATTGGTTGAAATCATCTTTTATGTAGACTCTAAAGTCATAGATCAACACACACAATAGCAACAATCTCTGTTTTGTAAAATATTTAGTAAAATAAATTTTATAAAAATTATACTTATACAAAATCTATGATATGCCTGTGCTGATCTACAACTGTCCATTTCCAAGGGGTTGAGCCTCCTGAGACGACAGGGCAAATAAACTCATGGCCACTCTTTTACAATTTACAGATAGGTACAATGGCATCATTAAATATACTACAACATTGTTTTGATGTGTTCCAGTATGTCCGTTATTAAGGGCGAAAAGGTAAAAAGAAAATAAAGACACAATAAGATTAAGAAAAGAGGTTGAATAAAAGAGAAAGTGAAGTAAAACATGAAAAATAGAGAATAATAATAAAAATAAAAAACATACTAGCCCACCTCACATTTCCACTTTATAAATAACATGCGCCAAATTAATCCCAACCATTCTTGTCTTCTATGATATCCACAATTGAGTAATAGGCTTTCTGACATTATTTAAATTTGTTAATATTTTTCTTGAATATTATTTGCGATTTTACTATAAAATTGGACACATTGACCTCAAAAAGACTTGTTTATCTTTTGAAGCCTAGAGGCAGGTACTACAAGTTTATTTCAACTTCTAGTATTTATAGAATGTACATGACTTCTTTTCGAATAGCTATCCTTGTTTTTATCAACATATATTACATTTTCATATATGTATATAGGTATTGACATGTCCCCTGTCATTACGTTTATTTCTTTAAAAGTTGTTCGAATGTCGGCAGCATTCCCCACAGTAGAATACCGTACGACATTATGCTATTGAAATAACTGAAGTAAACAAGTTGTGCAGACCAATTTCAGTCAACTCTCGAATTGCGTATGCTGCTGAGCTGATTCTACTCGATAATTTATTAATATGTGGGGCCTACTTACCAATATCTGGGGTAGCTTAAAAGCTAGTGTTATACCTAAAACTGTTGTAGTATCCACAAGATCTAACTTGACACCTTTAACCATCACAATAGTTTTCACTGGCTTGTTTGTTCATTTAAAAGCAAATTGTTGACGTCAAATCAATGAACCACTTTCAAAATGGCGATGTTTATAATAAATAATAAAAACAAAAAAGGGCCTAGAATAGAACCTTGTGGAACGCCAATTTCTACCACAAAGCCTGGAGACCGCTCACCATTAATATCAGCTTTCTGAATATCATATCAATCAATAACAATAATATCTCAATTAAACTATCCCTATAACTAATAAATTTAGCTGTACATTTTTATTTTATTTTAATTATATTATTTGATCAACTGCCATATTTGCATAATTGATAACTTAATATAATAATACTGTTAAACAACTTATAAACATATGATATTTGTATATTTGTGCAAATAAAGTACCTTCGTTTCTTAACTGTAATTACAAACAGAATAACAATACTTTAAATAATCACACGTAAGACTGTGCTTGTTATATAAAAACACTAGCTGGTAACCGCAATTTCGTTATATTTATACATATAAACTAGCTGATCCGGCAAACGTTGTATTGCAACAAAAAAAAAATTAGGGATGGGTCACCCTTACCATTCAAAATTGTGAATCTAAACCATTCCCAGATCCCCTTGAACACACACAAAAAATTTCATCAAAATCGGTCCAGTCGTTTGAGAGAAGTTCAGTGACATACACACTCACAGAAGAATTATATATATAAAGATATACTTCGGCAAGATTTATAAAAAATCTTAAAAGTCCAATATCTTGAAAATTGTTAAGTTATGGATATAGTATCTCATAGTAAAATCTATCAGAAATGATGGTGAGTACAACCTCTTAAAGTATCTAGGTGGACTTACCCGGTCACTGCAAACAAATAAATGTTTGTCACCATAAGGTATTGTTTACCTGAAAGTTGACGCTAGGATTAAAGTTAAAGATTATTAGGTAAACAGGAAATTTAGAATTAGAAGGAGATGTTAATATATCTATAAATCATTTTTTTAATTTTAACTGAACCAAATAATAACAAAGAAATGATTAGTTGACCTGAGCTACATTAGACAATAGACCAACAGGGTTTTCAAAGTAATATACAAGTTTGACCCCTACAGATTAATAGTTTTTTAATTTACTCGTAATTTAGTAAAATGGTTTTAGTGAAACAAAGTTATGTAAATTAGGTCTGAGTAAACTCAGAGACACAGAAAAATATGTCGAGCTTAATGTAGAAAGGTGAAGAAGTCAAATATTCAAATACTGTTGGTTTATCCTGTATTCGTTATGTTCACTTTATTGCTTCCTGCGTATTGTGTGTAAGTGTAATTTATAATATATTCATACTGTGCTTGTCTTTGTACAACATATACTATACAAATAAATAAAATTGAAGTGTCTGTTTGAAATTTCAAAATAATAGGTCTTTTTCATGCTCACACGATTATTTGCACGATACCTGTGCCTAAAAATCTGTTTTTTTGTCTGTCTGTCTGTCTGGGTGAACCGATTTTGATAATATTTTAGTTCTAGGTAGCTGTCTATATAAGGAATAACTTGGACTATTTTTTCTCTCAGAAAAAACCTTTAAAATTTTGCCCGGTTCGGGAATTGAACCCATTAAGGCAGCGCTTTTCGCATTCCACGTGAACGAAGTCGCGGGTACCAGCTAGTAACTCTACAAATAAATAAAATTGACGTGTCTGTTTGTAATGCCACACTCATATCGACGTAACAGTTAAAAAGGCAGCACAGTTGCTCGGGTTCATTAAAAGAAACACTGGAGTATTGACTCGGTATCAAACCAAGTTAATTCTTTACAACGCCCTGGTACGCAGCCGAATCGAGTTTGCCTCGGTTCTGTGGTGTCCTTTCTATAGTATTCACTTACAACGCATAGAGAGTATTCAAAGGTCATTCACTAGGCACCTTGCCTTTTGGGCCACGGGTTTGTCACATAGGAACTCCTATGACCATCGCCTTGCTCAATTTCAAATGAATAGCTTACGCGACCGGCAACAAACGTTGGATGTTTGCTTTCCGCATAGGGTAGTAAACGGTCAGCTGAGATGTAACGAATTGCTCGGAAAGATTTCAATATCCGTTCCTCCCCACTATCTCAGACAATCAATACTTAAACTTCTTTATACACAGTATGCAGAACAAACCTTGACTTGCAATCAGCTTTGACACGAATTTGCTGTAATTACAATAATGATCTTATTAAAAATAATGATCTCGACATTTTCCACGTCCGCTTAACCAGTTTAAAATCAAAGTTATTGCCTAGTTGTAGAAACCATTGTTCTTTTTTTTTAAATTTTTAGTTTAGTATTTATATTTAGTAATCATCTTTTTTTTACTATTGCTACTATTTTAATTGTTTCTTTTTAAACAAAATTTCTAGTAACTGTTCCATTGGATCCATATTTTATTTCACTGTACCGATATTGTTGCGAATGTTATGTAGACCGTAATTGTTGTATATATCATAATAATTGCCAACAACTTAATGTAACGTGAACTGTGTTATATATACAAATGTGGTTGTACCTACTTATAATAAATAAATATATAATGTCAAAATAATAGGTTTTTTCATGCTCACATACTTATTTGCACGATACCTATGCCTAAAAACCAGTTTAAATATTTTTTGTCTCTCTTTGTTCCGGCTTCAGAACAGCTCGACTGATTTTGATAATATTTGTCTTTATAAGGAGTAACTTAGGGTATTTTTTCTCAGAAAAGCCCTATAAAATTTTGCCATGTCCGGAAATCGAACCCACTGAGGCAGTGCTTTTCAAATTCCACGCGAACGCACGCTAGTTTTAAATAACAGTAAAGGAAGCAATTTTACATAAAATGTAAAACTAAGTGGCATTGAGACGGACTTTTGAATTTTATTTCTTTTAAACATTTACGTATTTAATTTATGTAACATTGTTATATCACTTTCGGTTATTTAAATTCAGTGTGATATTGGACAAGATTGCTGACAAAGCAAGCACTCTGTCTGTTTTGTCAACTTTATTATACTCGTATTGTGAACTTCGTCACAACTACATTAGGCGAAACTAAGGTTCTTGCTTTAAGCAAATCAATAATCAAGTTAAAG